TTACAAGGACGTAATTCAACAACCATTCTTCTACTGGAACTACAACAAACAAAAAATTACAGACTCTATGAATCACTACCATTTATGGTAGGCAAAGAAGAGACGCCATGAAGAGCCAACAAAAGCTTCAACATTTTGGCCTTCTTCCTTTCATTTTCCAACTTCATTTTCATCTTCTTTTTGTTCCTAACTTTAATATATTTAATGATTCATGTTAATTCTTGAACTACCTCTGAGAAATTGCATCCAATTGAGTTTTTGTGTTCACTTAATGTGCTACCTCCAAAATCTTCTTTTAGGATTTTCAGTTGAGTATAAAATGAATATTCTCATGGCTTTATGGCAATCACAAAATGGGATTTCAGACTCAGAAAGTTTTGAAGTTCTTGAGAGAGGAAGGAGAAAGGAAGAGGAGACGAGGAAGAAGAAGTGAAAAATGCAAAACAGTGATTTTTTTTTTGATTTAGTCCTCCTTTTTAAGGCCCTTCCACATGGATTTCCACGTGTGCATCAGATAAAAATAAAAAACAATTTAACGTGTGCATCAGATAAAAATGAAAAACAATTCCATTGTGCTCCATTTGCACAGTCAGCTGTTAAAAACCAACCAGTCAGCCCGGCCAGGGCGCACGGAGGTGTGTCCTGGAAAAAAAAAATATACCAATCCCGATCCATTAGGTTCTTCGATGTGTTCGTTTACAAAGTCAGTCCCTTTGACCTTTCTCCCAATCGGTAATTCTCACAGCTAACTCAATGTGGAGTTTGGAATTCCTCAATTAATCTTTATGTTCGACCATATCTTCTAGGATGTTAAGGATTCTAAGTCGCTTCCCTGGGGAAGCTCTTTCGAGAAAGCTAACGTCAAAGACTAAAGGCAACACAAAAGTGAGTTATAAGGACTTATACCCAAAAAAAAAGATACAGGGACTAAATTCAAAAACTCGTTAACTTACATGACAGGTACCACAAGACTATATAAGCCTACTTTTAATTAATCAAAAAATTGTTTACGATGTTAAAATAAATTTAAAGGTATCAACGGCTTTCACTCGTCTAATACCGAATTTTAAGCACATAAACGTCAGTTTTTATATATATGTTTATATTCTTAAAATCCCTTTTTTAAAATCCCTTTTTGAAAATAAGTATTTTTATAATTTAAATAGAATATACTTTTACAGGGTAGTTAATTAAAATCTAATTTTTTCTAAGGCAGATACAAATTTTGTTCTTTCGAATATGAACGGGTATCTATGAATTATGATTTCGCAGTGGATATTTCCGTTAAAAACTGAGTAAAAATCATCCCCTAAACAAATCTCTAATCATTAATTTTACAACTTATATGTGAGCATCTTTAATACGACTATTCTCACATTTTTTACTCTAAAAATTTAGCTGGACATCTTATTAACAGAGCAAAAGCAGTACTAAAAATTAAACATATTAAACGTATTAAATATAATAATATAAGAATAAAGGCACATACAAGTGGCAATTAAGAAAAATACTAATAACACTAAATAAGAAACCTGGAATTGCATTGCAGTGACAATACGTAATAATAAAGAAAAAACTCCAAAAACCGGTACTGAATAATCTTTGAATAAAAATTTTAAAATCCGATGCCAACAAGATTACAGCTTGAACGATCCAAATGTAAACAGGAAAACTGCAAACCTTAACTCTAAGGTGAACTTATCTCTTAGTGAGAGAAAATAAGCGCTTTAATAAACTGAATTTTTTTGCCTAAAATAAATTCTAAAAAATTTGAATGGAAATTTAGATGTATTTATAGAGATAAAATTCGTACAAGAGTGTGGCAAAACGTGCAAGAGGTAGTGGGAGAGAGAGGTGGAAAGTTGTTGGCCAAGTTTGAAAACGTGCCTTAAAATTCTGAACTACAAAACCATGACGAACATTATGGCTCTTATGCCTTGGTCGTCATAGATCGTGGAGGGATGACAGGCGTCATCTAGATGACGATCTACCCGTCATCCACTTGGCGCCCAAATTCTTTAGATTTTCTCTTCTTGTGCTGACGCTCAGGGCCTACCACGTCATGATGAACGCCATCCTTGCTAGTTGGGCTTCATATTAGTGCAGAGTTGCATTTTTGTCTCCGTTTTCACTGTTTCATGCCATTTCTTTGCACAAACACTCCTACAGCCAAAATACCTGAACAAATTCAGAGGTAAAAAAATGTTACTTCGCCATCAAGCTTGATCTTGCTAAAGCTTATGATAATCTAAGTTGGAGTTTTGTGGAGCGAATTTTAGATGAGGCTAGTCTTCCTAAAATAGTGAAGTATCACATCATGGAAGCTATAACTACTAATAAGATGTGTGTTCAATGGAAAAGGGAGAAAGAAGATTACTTCGATGCTAAAAAAATGGCTAAGACAATGAGACCTTTTGTCTCCTTATCTTTTTGTGCTTTGCATTGATAAGCTTTCTCATATGATTCTAGATGTCGTTGATGCTAACTAATGGGAATGTTTGAAGATTGGAAAGGGGTCCCTAAAGTTTCCTATCTTACATTTGTTGATGATTTAATTCTCTTTGGCGCTTCAACGGAAAGGCAAACAAATGTTGTGTTACAAATTCTTCACAAATTTTGAGAGATGTCTAGGCAAAGGGTGAGTAAGGAGAAGTTCAATATCACCTTTTCCAGGAACACCAGCAAGGCAGCGAGGCGGTTTATTCTGAACAAGGTTGGTTTCTGTGAAACTGAGGTTCTTAGTGCGTATTTAGAGGTGCCTTTAATAGGGAAAATTCCCAAACACAAAGACTTTGGGTACTCGATAGAAAAAGTGAAAAATTGGCTTACTAATTGGAAATGAAATCAATTGTCATTTGTTGGTTGTGTCACTCTTGCTAAAGCCATTATATAAGCCATTCCCACTTATAGTATGATGACGACTGTGATTTCTAAGGTGTGCATGAAAGAGATTCAACAATTACAAAGGACTTTTATTTGGGGTGATAGTTATGAGAATCATCATCTTCATACTGTCAGGTGGAGTGAGATTTCCCTGCTTGAGAATAAAGGTGGTTTAGGGATAAAGAAAGTTGAGCTTATGAATCAAGCTTGCCTTGCTAAGCTTGGTTGGAAGTTGAAGAGTGGCAAACAAACTCTTTGATTCAACGTGATGAGAAGCAAATACATCAAACCAATGTAAGGAAATGGTGACATCAAGAATAAGTTTACAGACACTAGTATTTAGAAGCACTTAGTGAAGTTGTGGCCTCAGTTAGAGATTATGACATTTTGGGAAGTGGGGAACCATAATGATATCCTGGTGTGAGAGGATGCTTGGATTGAGATAGGATTGTAGCTGATCTCTAAGGTGCAAAATCAGACCTACATAATGGAGCCTAACTTTAAAGTGGTTACCTTGGTCGATCTTAATGGGGATTGGAATTAGAGGCTCTGAGAACCATGTTAGATAGCAATACTTCGGCCAAATTTAAAGTTATCCCTCCACCTAATATGAATAATAGGGTGCCTGATATGAGTACCTAGGGTGGTACTGACAACGGGTCTTTCACTATTGCGTCTATGTATAAGCATCTCTCTTCTTTTGTAAGTAGAGATGTGAATAATAATATGAGTAGATGGGTTGACATGTGGAAGCTGCAGGCCCCAGAGCGCATTCGATGCTTCATTTGGAAATTATTTCATAAGGGACTTATTACAAATAAGTACCTTTGGCATTTCAAGTTGAGGACTGCTTTGTGTGATGTCTGTAGGAATCATGAGGAAACTTTGTTGCATGCTTTGAGAGACTGTTCCAATGCTAAACAGGTGTGGACTCAGCTTGTTAGTAACACTAACAAACAAAGATTCTTCTGGGTTGAGATTCAGGATTGGCTTCAATTAAATTTGTAGGAAAATCTTAATGTGAGGTATAAGGATTGGGGGCGCTTTGAGTCATTACGTGTCACACCGTTTGCTTTTGGCGGTATAAAAGGACTCATGCGCATAACTTTGTCATTTCGATCCACATCGTTAAAGGTATCACTGATACGGTTCAATATGGAGTGTACAGAAGTTTGAATCTCATAATAAATTCCTCCACTTCTTCCTCTATCCAAGTTAAAATGGAGTCCTCCTGCGGGAGATTGGAGCTACCTGAATGTTGATGGTGCTATCAAGCAAGATGGCACAGCGGGTTATGGGGGCCTTTTACGAAACAGCATGGGTATTTGGATTTGGGATTTCAGCAAGCATATTTGCAAGAGTAGTAGTTTAAATGTTGAGTTTTGGGGTGTTTTAACAGGTATTCATCTTCCTCTAGACAAAAGTATCAAGAAAATTATGATTCAAGTGGACAACAAAAATGTGGTTGCTATGCTTTAAATTTATGACAAGGAGTTTCAGTTTGGTTATAACTTGTTTCATCAAATTCAATATCTTTATAAAAGGTTCGAAGAAATTGATTTTGAACATACTTATCAAAATGCGAATAGAAGTGCGAATTTACTAACTAAACAAAGTCGTAACAACATTAATAAAGTCTATGAAGATAGGATTAGGTGGCTCCATCTTTTACTTGACAAGGATCTTTTGTTTCTTTTACTAACAAATTAGTTAGTTTGTCTTTTTGTTTTGAACTTTTGCCATCTTTTTAAAAAAAAAAAAGGAAATTTTGATAACTAAATTTTTTAAATTTCAATGAAATAATATCAATTTGAAGAAATAGAAAATTGATGAGATAAGTCTCACCGAAATGACTGAGAAGGTAAGCAAGCGAAAAGTCTAAACGGCAAAAGCAAGCGAAAATCATTCATTCACGAGTACTAACATATCTAAACGGCAGAAGCAAACGAAAATCAGTCATGAGTAACCTCTAAACGGCAATTGCAAGCAAAAACAAACACAAACTAAAACAAAACTACAAGTCGATAAAACTCCCTCTTCTTCTCTCTCAAACCTCCATTACTCTCAATTCTGAACTTCAACAATTTAATTAACAATTTTCAATTTTCAAATGTGAAATGGATAAAATAAACACTTTACCCTCAACACCTGGTAAACTCAAACCAGAAAAATATTACCCGCCTTACAATATCCATCGCATTAGATTATCAAAACTCACAGTATACTCATCAATTTTCCTCGCTTTCATCATTTTCTTCTTCTTTCTCTCACCTCCTTCATCTTCCCCTTCATCGCTCCGTACTCTCAACCCATGGGGCGGACCCGATTGGGAAAAACGGGTCACCAAATCCGCCCGTCGGAGCTCCGCTTCATCTCTCACTGTTCTTGTCACCGGCGCTTCCGGTTTCGTCGGTACTCACGTCTCACTTGCTCTTAAACACCGCGGAGATGGTGTCATCGGTCTTGACAATTTCAACCGCTATTATGACCCTAACCTCAAACGCGCTCGTCAGAAAGTACTCTCACGCGCCGGTGTTTTCGTCGTTGAAGGTGACATCAACGATGGTAATCTACTCCGTAAACTCTTCGATGTTGTTCCTTTCACGCACGTGATGCATCTTGCTGCTCAAGCTGGGGTTCGTTACGCTATGCAAAACCCTAATTCGTATGTTCATAGTAACGTTGCAGGTTTTGTTAGTCTTCTAGAAGCTTCTAAGTCTGCGAATCCTCAACCTGCTATTGTTTACGCTTCTTCCAGTTCGGTTTACGGGTTGAATTCGAAGGTTCCGTTTTCGGAAAAGGATCGGACTGATCAACCGGCGAGTCTGTATGCAGCTACGAAGAAAGCTGGTGAAGAAATTGCGCATGCTTATAATCATATCTATGGTCTTTCCGTTACTGGTTTGCGTTTCTTCACTGTTTATGGTCCTTGGGGTCGTCCTGATATGGCTTATTTCTTTTTCACTAAGGATATTTTGAAAGGGAAACGGATTACTGTGTTTGAATCACCGGATGGTGGAAGTGTTGCTAGAGATTTTACCTACATTGATGATATTGTGAAGGGTTGTTTAGGGGCTTTGGATACAGCTAAGAGAAGTACTGGTGTCGGTGGGAAGAAGAAGGGGAATGCGCAGTATAGGATTTTTAATTTGGGTAATACTTCGCCGGTTCCGGTTACGGAGCTTGTTAATATATTGGAGAAGCTTTTGAATGTGAAGGTAAAGAGGAAGGTGATGCCGATGCCGAGAAATGGTGATGTTAAGTTTACTCATGCTAATATAAGCAGGGCGCAAAAGGAGCTTGGTTACATGCCTACTACTGATTTGGAGGGTGGACTCAAGAAATTTGTGAGGTGGTACCTTGACTTTTACTCTCCTTTAAAAAACAAAGGTGTTTGGTGATTGATATTATGTGTTTTGCTTTTGTTCTGTTCTGCTGCATGATATTGTGTAATGTACAATTCCCCTGTTTCTCTTCCTTATATGATTGCAATCTGCAGATTGTGTTGGGGAACTGAGGGGAAGAACCAGTATATAGTACCAGGGTCTTTTCTTTTTTCCTTTAATTTGTTTGATGAGCTTAAATCTTCCTATGTATGACTTTTTATGTTAACCATTGTACAGTTTATTGAGTAATTGAGGCACTGAATTGACTTTTTATGTTCCATCAATACAAAGATTTAAATTTCGGTTACGCCGCCTTGCATGATAATGCGGTTACAATGGCATTTAAAATCTCTGAACTGTGATTGTCATTATGGTGTGGTTACACTGATCTCTAGAACCTTGGAATCCTTGTTCTGTGGCGGTTGTGAGCTGCAATTAAAAACCATATGCATAAATGATTAGTCAGACCCTATGCTTACCAAGTGAATTTTGGAATGATTAGTCAGACCCTATGCTTACCAAGTGAATTTTGGAATGATTGATCAGAACCTATGCTTACCAAGTGAATTTTGGTTTATATGATCACAAGTTTTTGGAAGTATGGTTAGCCCCAAAACATCTATAAAGCTCTCTTTTGGGATCAATTTATGTTTAGGTTTTGCATGGTTGTTAAACCTTACATATCATGTTTTAGGTTTAAACTAAGAACTCATTATGCCGTGTTGTAGGTTTAAACCAGTTTGTTTGCCAGCATGTAATGTTCCTTAACAAACATAATGTTTTGCCCTTGGAGATTAGTCTTGTAAATCCTCATTTACATAGATATCTGGCCTGTGATAACGTTAGTTGAGACTGTAAGTGTTTGCCTGCACTGGTATATGTATATACTGCAGAGCTACATCCAACTCTATATAATCCAGCGGTGACAGTTCAACTTGGCATATATCATTAGCCATACTGTTATTTATGTACTTGTGTATCACTTTTATATACATATATATGCTGCTACCTTAGAACTTGCTTCACCTATCCATGCTTGTTGATGAATGGGAGATAAAGAATATTTTTGTTATGAAATTAAGGTAAAATCCATCAAATTCATCTAATCCATCCATCACATAAAAAGTAAGTTAATGGATTGGATTAAATCCATTCATTTATATACATAGATTGATTCAATTCATCCAACATAAAAATGAATCTTTTAAATAAAAGAATTAATTTTTTTTTTTAAATGGATTTTTTTCCTGAAAAAAAAAAGATTTTTTTCCAAAATAAAAAACTGATTTTTTTTCTGAAAAAGAAACCGATTTTTTATAAAATTAAATATCGATTTTTTGAAAAATACAAAAAAAGTGTGTTTTCTAAAAAAGAATCAATTTTTTTTACAAAAATTAAAAAATTAATTTTTTAAAAAACACAAAAAGTCTATTTTTCTCGAATAAAAATTAATTTTTTTTGAAAATATAAAAAATAAATGATTCTAGATGAGACGTCTTTTACCATTCTTATTTATTTTGATTGTTCTGCGCTTTCTTCTGTGTAAAGGAGAGGGAATAAACTAAGGGTGTCTGCAACTAAAAAAATTAGAAGTTTAACATTTTTTCTAACACTTTCAACCATATATCTCAAGGTAAAGAAAATGTTCACAAGCTTGTCTGAGTCATGAGATTAGTTTACACCATCTGACTTTTTGTTTTAAATTTTTATTTTTTATTTCATATTCATATAGTCATTTTTAAGCTTCATTTCATTTTTAGTTTTCTATTTTCATCTGTTCAACTAGTTGATCTGTCACTTCAAAAACATTGAGTGTTTTAAGTAACATACGAGCATATATATTTATATGTTTCGATAGTCTTTTCAGAGAAACCTACAAGCTATGTCGATGCATAGAGATAAAAATTATCCAAGAAAAATTGAATTTAGTTTTTTAACTGACCCAGAAAATTCATGTTTTTTTTTCAGTATGGCTTGATATAAATTGTCGGTTAAATCATTTTTATAATGAACTAAACTAAATCAATTTGACAATAGTGATTGAATGCTAATTATAGAAAGATTCAAACGATATCGCTTTTCTCAAAGCAAATTAAGCGATTAAAGAGCTTTTAGTTTAAAATCCTATGCTACTTTCATTACGTGTGACAAAGGTAAGAATGAAGAAATACAAAGACTGTTAAAATAACTTTCAAGCAGTTTCATATGTTACTTAAAAAGATTAACAACACACTAAAGGTAAAATAATATCACTGTTTAATTAAAGGTTCTTAACAAAATAAGAAATTGCATGGTCCATCTAAAACTCTTGATAAACGTCAAAATGTCCAGCAGATTGCCAGTGCAGCAACCTGTGTAACCAGAACGCAGTCGATACAATCTTTAAGCAACTAGAGTGCTGGCAGTTGTTGATTCACTGCAAATGCCAAAAGTCATTAGTAGCAGCAAGAGGAGATAGTAGAAATGCAAATGAAGAAGAATGTAAAACATCCAGAGAAAAGAATATAAGAAAGCATCATTCAGACAATTGCATTTTAGCAAAAGCACAAAAGAAACGATAATGCAAGCAAGCACAGCATTGTAATAGCCTATTGAAAAAGAATATCATGCATAAAATACAACCTAACAGAACAGCTGCAATGATAAGAAAAATGTTAACACAATAACCTATATAACTAGTATGTGCTTGGGGTAAGAATGAAGAAAGTGCCAATATAACACAATAACCTATATAACTAGTATGTGCTTGGGGTAAGAATGAAGAAAGTGCCAAAGTAAACACATAACATAAGAATGAAAAATAAAGACTTGGTTGACAATCATTTCAAACTAGGAACATTGAACTACTTTTAAAAACAAGCTTGAATACAGCTGAAGATGACAGGGTATGAACTCAAAATTAAAATTAGAAAAACATGAAGGAAAATGAACCCATGAGGGATATTAAGCATTCTATTCCGAGAGGACTAATAATAGATCCAAAATGCATTTGTTAAATTTATTGCAATATAAATCTGTAGTTAGTTTTGATGCACCGTTTTATAAAATGCCCGTGTTAAATGATCCTAATAGAAACAAAGGGAATATAAAATGCCCGTGTTAAATGATCCTAATAGAAACAAAGGGAAGAAAGCTAATTGTTAAAACATGTTCCTTTCACTTACTTTTTCCTATGTTCATTAGTTCCTTTTTCTAAACATACCTCATAATCACATCCCTTTGTTTGAAAGGGATCCACAAAGTTTGAAAGCAATCCACAAAGTCTATGACAGGAAGGAATCTAGGTTCACAAAGTTTGAAAGCAATCCACAACTTACTTTTAATCAACAACTATTCAAAGTAGTCCTTACACAAGTAAAATTAATTCAAAATACTAGGTGTATTTTAACATAAATTGAAATATGCACAGATCCAAGTTAATCCACCCATAAAGCTCAATATCAAAATTCGGCTTATGACATAAACAATGATAGCTTAGTTTTCTTGTTCCAAAATGGAAAAACTACAATCGGTTAGTTTGCCTTAGCAATGCAGTTCAATTTATATGACAAACAGAATGGACAATAAAATGCAGAGAAAACAGAATATGTAAAAATCTTACTATTTCCACACAGGGGGGAGCTTCTTAGTTTTCTTGTAATAGCGAGCAAGACGGTGAATTCTGCTCTCAACAAGAATGAGCCTGAACTTAGAGTCCTTGTCCTTCCTGTTCCTCTCCAAATGCTTGCGGATTGAAACTGCCTTCTTGATCAAATGGTATAGATCTTCAGGAATCTCAGGGGCAAGTCCTTCAAACAAACAAAAACAATCAAGGGTTACATATATATCCTTTGTTCTGACAATAAAAACCTAATTTTTTAGGTCATTCACTATAAACCCTAATTCAACCGCAATTGCAGACAAACCAAAACAACACAAATTGGAGAGAGGGGAATACCGTGAGCTTTGAGAATGCGGAGGATTTTGTTTCCGGTAACACTCTTGACCTGAGCAATACCGTGAGAATCACGGAGAATAACACCGATCTGAGAAGGAGTCAAACCCTTCTTAGCAAACTTGCAAATATTTTCATCAACCTGAAACGAATTCAAAAAGTGAAAATCAACAAAACATTAAAATCGCAATATGGATGAAGAATTGGGAGAATGTAATGGTAAGTTAGTTACATCTTGTGAAGAGATCTTGAGCCAGCTAGGAGAAGTTCGTCTGTATGGCAAAGCCGAGGAGGATATACCCTTACTGCAATCAAACAAAGGGAAAATCAATCAAATCAATGGAGACGGAAGAAGCTAGAGATGAGAATGGAAGAGATACTGACCCACCACTATGCATACGCCCCATAGTTTCTGGTTTCCGCTGTCACTACCGCGCCGGTGAAGTATTGGTTTTGGATACAAACCCTAGTAAGCAAGTTTTACCGGGTACTATGCCGTTTATAATTGAGTCTTATGTTTGGGCCGGACTATCTCTTTTGAAAAGTTAAAAAAAAAAAAAAATTTATGGATCTTTTAATACACCCTATATGTTTCTTAAGTAAACATTTAGAAATGTTTCGAGTTTTTAAAGATGTATTTTCAAACACACTTTAATACAGACGTTTAATTAATTAATTTGTTTTATGAATAAATTTATTCTTAAATCGTATTTCCAAAAAATTTTCAAAAATGTATTTCTAAAATATTTTTGAATATTCTTTGGAGATCAAAAACCATTGCCTAGTACTAAATTCAGAACAATTAACGCAATCATTGTATGTGATGTCTGCGTCTTATTTTTATAGGTTTTTTAAATTTGTATCTCAATTATTTCAAACCATAATTTCAATTCAAAATTTTACTCTCATATTTTAAAGTTTTCCTTGTAGTAAAAGTATCTTAGTATGTCGTGTTATGTGATGCTCGTGTCCTATTTTTATAAGCTTCACAGGTCTATCTCAGTTCTTTCAAAATAAAATATCAGTCCAACATTTTATTTGTATATGTCAAAGTTATACTTGTAGTGAAAGTATTCAAGTCTATCATGTTATTTGATTATCTTCTCTTTTGTATCAGCCAACGAGGATATTCAAAAACACTAACTTTGTTCGACAGTTATTCCTTCATCACAAGATGAACTAGAAAAGGTAGATACAGATTCTATTGATCTAAAGCACCTTATATAGTTCCCAAGTACATTCTACAGTTTTCGGAAAATGTATTTTTGGAGACATTCTGGAAATACATTTTCGGAATTAGTTTTATCATAAAATTGGGTGTGGTTCAAAAACAAATGAGTTTAATGTGTATTGGATGCGTCCAGGGATACATCTCTAGAATTTGAGAGAAATTTTTTGAATTTTTGTGTAGTGGCTAAGAAACATATAATGTGCATTAAGAAACTCTTTTTTTTGTTGCATTAATTCACTCACTCTTAGTGTTAGAGAAACACCTTATACAAAAATTTAAAAATGCTTTTCAAATTCTATATTTACATCTTTGAATGAACCCATATGCATTAAATCAATCTGTAACTAAGCAATATCTTCATTTTCTTATAATTCAATCTGGAGATGCATCTTCGAAATAATCTCATATGCACTTCATCCATTTGTAATTGAGTCATAGTCTCATTTTGTCATAATTTAGTCTAAAGATGCATCTCTGTAATAAATATGTTGAATTGTAATTCTTTGTGTCGAAGTAAGTTGCTCAACAAGGACAAGGAAATTGTCTAATAGGCTAGTGTGTGTATGTGTGTGTGTGTGCGTGTGTCGAAACACCTAGGTGTCGAAGTGTTCAGGAGTCGGTCTAGATATGAATTTTGTTTTAAACCTAATTTTGTAGTGTTAGTAGAGTTAGGTATTTTAAAATTTTGTGTTTTGGTTTTGCTTAGGAGCAAGCAAGCTAAATTTATATAAATAGGGAATAGCCCTTATTATTGTACACACTTGAACTTTGCACTTGCAAAAGAGTAAAGAATCACAGTTTGTAAGTAGAGAGGAACTCTGAATAAACTCTTCTTCTTCCATATTTTTGTGAAAACCTTAAACTTCTTCTTCTTCCCCAATTCATTTTTTTCTAGTTTTCATCACCATCGTGTAGCAATACAATCTTGCAACCAATGTTGGTTGATTCACTCGAGTGAAAAATGAATAACAAGAGAGAATTTAATTTGTTGATTGAATCTTTTTCATCAAGATTGATTAGGAATTACTCAAAGTATTAGGTTTGATTCTAAAATTTGGTATCAGAGCACTGGCTGAGCGATTCGTGGGAAGAAAAACACGATCGTAATAGCGATGAATCATCTGAATGGACATTTTCCATCGAGTGTCCCAATTCTGAAGGGTTAGAATTACGAAAATTGTTGTAAATAGATGAAGGTTGTATTTTTTTGTCAAGATCTTTAGAATCTTGTGAAGGAAGGAATAACACCACTTGCAAAAAACATGTCAGATCAAGAAAAGCTTGCATACAAAGAATTGAAGAAAAAAGATTATAAAGATCTCTTTATAATTTATAAATGTGTTGATCCAGAGAATTTCAAAAAGGTTAGTGATGTAGAAGCAGCGAAAGACGCATGAGAAATCTTTAAGAAATTGTTTGGAGGCGCAGAGAAGGTGAAAGAGGTGAGGTTACAAACTCACAAAAGGACATATGAATTACTTCAGATGAAAGAAGTTGAAAGCATAACAGAATTTTTCACTAGGATTACAAAGCTGGTGAATCAAATTAAGGTATGTTGAGAAGTGTTAACATCAATATCTGTTGCAAAGATTTTGAGGTCATTGGTCCCTAAGTTCGACCACGTGGTAGTAGCCATAGAGGAGTCAAAATATTTGTCAACAATGACAAAGGAGAAGCTTTAAGAGATACTTAAATCTCATGAACAAATAATGGCAGAAAGAGTTGCAAGCAAGGCGAAGAGTAATATGGCTTTGCAGACGCAATCAATAAAAGAAAAAAAGGGCAAACGAAGTTGGAAAGGTAGAGCAGACTATAATAATTTGACTACTCGAAATCAGCAAGAAAGAGGTTATTCGAATCATAAAAAGTCCTCATACTAAAGCAACCAAAGAAGTGATGCATCGGATATAGGAAGAGGATGTAGTCGAAAACCCGACAAAAGTTACATTCAGTGTTTTAATTGTTAGAAGTATGGTCATTACTCTAGTGATCGTCTTGAGAAACGTAATAGTCAAGATAATGATGCAAAGTTTGCAAAGCATGATGATGAAGAATAGATGTTATTGATGGTTATAATAAGAGATGAAGAAAGATTCCAAGAAATCAGACATAAAAATTATAGGCAACCTAACCGATTTGACAATATCTCATAGGTCACAATTATAGGCAAAAATAATTAGAAATTAGTTAAGTGTAATTAATTTTGTTGATATCATATACAATCACAATAAATTTACTATAATTTATTTAATTATATTTGATAAATCAACTACGAACATTAAATACTATTGAATTAAATTAGATATTAAATTATTTAATTATATTTGATAAATCAACTACGAACATTAAATACTATTGAATTAAATTAGATATAAATTAGTAATACAACTATTAATTATTTTAAAAGTTAATGACTTTTGCTTATAAAAACGACCGAAATTTAAAGTTTTTTTTTTCAATAATAGTGACAGTAGGAAGTAGTGATTAGAATGCTAATTATAGAAAAGTTTAGGCGAAAACGCTTTCCCTAGAGCAAATTAAGCGATTAACAAGCTTTAAGTTTAAAATCCTACGTTTAATTCATTACATGACAAAGGTATGAATGAAGAAATACAAAGACTGTTAAATAACTTTCAAGCAGTTTCATGTTACTTAAAAAGAACAACAACATACTAAAGGTAAAATAATATCACGTTTTAATTAAGGTTCTTAACAAAATAAGAAATAGCATGGTCCATCTAAACTTTTGATAAACAACAAAATGTCCCAGCAGATTGGCAGTGGAGCAACATGTGTAACCAGAACCCAGACGATACAATCTTTAAGCAACTAGAGTGCTGGCAGTTGTTGATTCACTGCAAATGCCAAAAGTCGTTAGTTGCAATTAGAGGAGATAGTAGAAATGCAAATGAAGAAGAATGTAAAACATGCAGAGGAGAAGAGAATATTGGAAAGTATCATTCCGACATTTGCATTTTAGCAAAAGTACAAAAAAAATGACAATGCATAACATACAATCTAACAAAACAGCTGCAATGATAAATGACAAGAAAAATGTTGAAGTGCAAAAACTCGGTAACAAACAGAAATTGTTAACACAACAACCTATATAACTATTATGTGCTTGGGGTAAAAATGTAGTAAACATATAAGAATGAAAAATAAAGACTTGGTTGAAAATCATTTCAAACTAGGAATACTGAACTACTTTAAAAAACAAGCTTGAATTCAGTTGAAGATGACAGGGTATGACCTCAAAATTAAAATTAGAAAAACATGAAGGAAGATGAACCTATGGGTGGATATTAAGCATTCTATTCAGAGAGGACTAAATCTAGACCCAAAATGCATTTGTTAAATTTATTGCAATATAAATCTATAGTAAGTTTTCATGCACTGTTTTATGGAATGCCCATGTTAAATGATCCTAATTCAAACAAAGGGAAGAAAGCTAATTGTTTAAAACATGTTCCTTTCACTTACTTCTCCTATGATTATTACTTCCCTTTTCCTAAACATACATCATAATAACATCCCCGTGTCTATGACAGGAAGGAATCTAGGTTCACAAAGTTTGAAAGGAATCCACAACTTCCCTTATAATCAACAACTATTCAAAGTAGTCCTTACACAAGTAAAATTAATTCAAAATACTAGGTGTATTTTAACATAAATTGGAATATGCATAGATCCAAGGTAATCCACCCACAGAGCTCTGTATCAAATTTTGGCTTATGACATAAACAAGGATAACTTCTCCCACTTGTTCCAAAATGGAAAAAATGCAATCGGCTGGTTTACCTAGCAATGCCGTTCAATTTATATGACAAACAGAATGGACAATAAAATGCAGAGAAAACAGAACATGTAAAAATCTTACTATTTCCACACAGGGGGGAGCTTCTTAGTTTTCTTGTAATAGCGAGCAAGACGGTGAATTCTACTCTCAACAAGAATGAGCCTGAACTTAGAGTCCTTGTCCTTCCTGTTCCTCTCCAAATGCTTGCGGATTGAAACTGCCTTCTTGATCAAATGGTATAGATCCTCAGGAATCTCAGGGGCAAGTCCTTCAAACAAACAAAAACAATCAAGGGTTACATATATATCCTTTGTTCTTACAATAAAAACCTAATTTTTTAGGCCATTCACTATAAACCCTAATTCAACCGCAATTGCAGACAAACCAAAACAACACAAATTGGAGAGAGGGGAATACCGTGAGCTTTGAGAATGCGGAGGATTTTGTTTCCGGTAACACTCTTGACCTGAGCAATACCGTGAGAATCACGGAGAATGACACCGATCTGAGAAGGAGTCAAACCCTTCTTAGCAAACTTGCAAATATTTTCATCAACCTGAAACGAATTCAAAAAGTGAACATTAAAATCAACAAAACATTAAAATCGCAATATGGATGAAGAATTAGGAGAATGTAATGGTAAGTTAGTTACATCTTGTGAAGAGATCTTGAGCCAGCTAGGAGAAGTTCGTCTGTATGGCAAAGCCGAGGAGGATATACCCTTACTGCAATCAAACAAAGGGAAAATCAATCAAATCAATGGAGACGGAAGAAGCTAGAGATGAGAATGGAAGAGATACTGACCCACCACTATGCATACGCCCCATGGTGTCTAGTTTCCGCTGTCACTACCGCGCCGGTGAAGTATTGCTTTTGGATACAAACCCTAGTAAGCAAGTTTTACCGGGTACTATGCCGTTTATAATTGACTCTTTTATTTGGGCCGGGTATCTCTTTTTTAAAAAGTTAAAAGGTTTTTTTTAGGTTTTGTAATGCCCTCTATATATTTCTTAAGCACACCTGAATATTTAAAAATGTTTTGAATGATTGAAAATTTATTTTCGGACACATCTTATTATAGATATTTTATTTGTTTTATGAATAAATTTATTTCAAAAATATATTTTTAAAATATTTTTCAATATTCTTTGGAGATGAAAAACCATTGCCTAGTATTAAATTCAGAACAGTTGACTGCAGTGTATGTGATGCTTCTGTCCTATTTTTATAGGTTTCCCAAAGTTTGTATCTCAATTATTTCAAATCAGAATTTCAATTCAAAATTTTATTCTCATATTTCAAGATTCTACTTGTAGCAAAAGTATTCAAGTATGTTGTGTTATGTGATCCTCGTGTCCTATTTTTATAGGCTTCACAAGTCTATCTCAGTTCTTTCAAAATAGAATTTCACTCCAACATTTTATTCTTATATTTCAAAGTTCTACTTGTAGTGAAAGTATTCAAGTCTGCCATGTTATTTGATTATCTTCTCTTTTGTATCAGCCAACGAGGATATTCAAAAACACTAACTTTGTTCAACAGCTGTTTCTTCATCACAAGATGAACTGGAAAGGGTAGATACAAATTTTATTATTCTAAAGCACATTATATAGTTCGCAAGTACATTCTACAATTTTCGGAAATGGATTTTTGGAGACATTCTACAAATTCATTTTTGGAATAAATTTTATCATAAAATTGGGCGTGGTTCAAAAACGAATGAGTTTAATGTGTATTGGGTGTATATGGAGAAGTATCGACGTCAAGATCAGTTGTTGCAAAGATTTTGAGGTTATTGGCTCCAAAGTTCGACCACGTGGTAGTAGCCATATAGGAGTCGAAAGATTTGTCCACAATGACAAAGAAAGAACTTCAACGGACACTTGAATCTCATTAACAAATAATTGCAGAAAGAGCTGCAAGCAAGCCGAAGAGTGATATGGCTTTGCAGGCACAATCAGTAAAAGAAAAAAGGGCAAAGGAAGTTGGAAAGGTATTGTAGGCTACAATAATTCGACTGCTCGAAATCAGCAAGAAGGAGGTTGTTCGAATCATAGAAAGTCCTTATACTAAAGCAACCAAAGAAGTGATGCATTAGGTATAGGAAGAGAAGGTGGTCAAAAACCCGACAAAAGTTACATTAAATGTTTTAATTGTTAGAAATATGGTCACTACTCTAGTGATTGTCTTGAGAAACATAAGAGTCGAGACAATGATGCAAAGTTTACAAAGCATGATGAAGAAGAATATATGTTATCGATGGTCACAATAAGAGATGAAGAAAGGTTGCAGAATTAATGGTACTTAAACTCAGGATGCTCATCACACATGACTGGTAGGAAAGATTGGTTTGTCAACATAAAACCCTCAATGAAGAACATGGTGAAATTTGCAAATGACAATACTCTAGCAACTGAAGGTATTGGTAATGTCCTAACTATGAGGAAAGATGACAAAAGGTCAGTAATTTCCAATGTATTGTACATGTCAGGCATGAAAATCAATTTGCCCAGCATAAGGCAGTTGGTTGAAAAGAACTACAAGGTGTCGATTGAAGACAAGATGATGACAATTCTGACTAAAATGGAAGCTATTAGAACAAGATTTGGTTCTGCTGTTTATCTCTAAGTTTTCATAATAACAATGTAATATTTGTGTAAAAACAATTTTGGTACTCTAACGGTTTGTTATTTTGAATTTTTAACAAACAGGTTCTGACTCTAATAAAGACCATATGCAACGATATTCTGGTATGAAAAAAGTCGCTTATACATCAAAGAAGCAAGTATGCTTATGTACCTGCTCACATTCAGAAAGATTCCAAGAAGACAATATGTTGTTGCTGCAATGCCCTCTTGGATTCTATCTCTGAGCGTGACTCTGATGATTTACTTCTGAAGGTTTTCTAACTTCAGAAGTTGTTCTTTTCTGAAGACTAAGTGCTAACAACTCTGAAGACAAGGTTCTGTTGAACAAAGTTCTGAAGACTCTGATGATTTATGTTTCTGAAGACTAAGTGTTGAAGATTCTAAAGATAAGGTTCTACTGAACAAGTTTTGGAGACTCTGAAGACTTAAGACTCTGAAGACCCAATGATCAATTCTTCTATTCATGCTTCAAACATATCTATTCAGAAGCCTCTGATATATAAAAGATAAGATCAAAAGTTTACGAGAGAAATAGTACATAGTACGTATCAAAACGTTCCATTCCACTACCCTGACTTTATAGTGAAAATGACAACTTTTGTGTATGACTTTCATCCCTACGTAATGACATTCTTTCAAGTTGTCAGCTAACTCAAGAATATTCCTAATCTTCCCTCCAACAGATGCTTTACTGGCTATATAAGGACTTGATAACTTGAAGAAAAGTAAAGAACAACAACGCAAGAACACAACAACAAAAAATCCATACCGTGTGCAAATTTTCTTTAAGTCTTTTTAAGATAGTCATTATGTTTATATCTGCTTGAGTATAACCATTTCAATGTAAACATTTATCTTTCACAAACTGTATTTGTAATTCTTTAAGGGACCAGTTAGGTCAGAATCCTTAAGAAGACTTAGACATTTAGTCTTTGTGGTTGTTAGTCACCAGCGCTTGCTAGTGTAGATTGTAACCAATTAATTATATTAGATTAAGTCCTTGGACAAGGCAAAACCACCTTGGCAGGTGGACTGGATTAACTTGATAGTTTTCAAGTGACCATGATATATCGTGTGTCTTTCTCTCTTATTTAGTTTCTTTGTGATTTTTATTTGAGTTTCATAAAAAGCTTTCATTTTTAAAAATCCAACTCAAACCCCATTTTCTTGTGTTTTTCTCACACCTTCAGAAGGTTGATCTTAAAGGCTCTAATGTCTCAAAGTAAAACCTTCAGAATTGAAATTAATGTGATAGAGCACAAGTTCTTTCCAATTGCATCCAGCAGGGATGAATGGATATGACACTGCATACTTAGTCATCTCAACTTTAAAGACATCAGAGATCTGAAGAGAAGAAATATGGTTTCAGGATTACCAGAAATTGACATTCCAAATGAAGTGTGTGAAGAATGTGTACAGGAAAATCAACATAAGAACAACTTCAACATGCAGAAAGTAAATCGAAGGCAATTCTTGAAGTCATATACTCTGATGTGTGTAGTCCTATCAATGTGGATTCGATTGGAGGTAACAGATAATTTGTCACATTCGTAAATGATTTCAGTCAAAAACCATGGACTTACCTAATCAAGAAGAAAAGTGAAGCGATCGAGGTATTTGGCAAGTTTAAATCTATGGTCAAAAGACAAAGTGGTAGAAAGCTCAAGATTATGAGGACTAACGATGGTGGAGAATATGTGTAAAAGACTTCGACACATTATGTGAGAAAGAATGGATTGTGCATGAGGTAGTGTCACCCTACACTCTATAGCATAATGGAACTATGGAAAGGAAAAACATAATTGTCATGAATATGGTGAGAAGTATGTTCAAAGGAAAGAAACTACCTAAAGAATTATGGGGAGAACCTGTGTCGACTGCGACATGCATACTGAGCAGATGTCTGACAAAAAGGCTATAAGGAATCACACAAGAAGAATGTTGGTCTGGTGTCAATCCTAGACTAAGTCATCTAAAGGTATTTGAATCTATAACACATAGACATGTTCCAGATTAGTTGAGAAGAAAACTTGATGATAAGTCGATTCAAATGATCCTAATATGATATAACTCGACTATAGGATACAAGTTCTTCGACCCAGTAAACAAGCGAGCAGTCATCAGCAAGGATGTGATCATATATGAGCTTAAGGAATGAGATTGGACTGAGAATCTCAAGAAAGATTTAGTGAGAATCTTATGTGAAGAACCAGCAAGTGAAGTCGAAAGAAAAGTTCGACATGAAGAAGTCAGAGGTCAAGCAAGCACAAGCAGACCTCAAAGAACAAGACATATACCTACAAGGTTGCAAGAATGTGTGATTACATTAATTGATGTGGTCGATGATGAACGTGAGCTAGTGTACTATGATTTTTATGTAGATGTCGAACCATTCAATGCAATTGAGGCACTGAAGGATTCTAAGTGGCGAAAGCAATGAATAAGGAAGTGAAGTCCATCGAAGTCAACAACACTTGGTGACTTGTCGAATTGCCTCAAGACAACAAGGAAATCAATATGAAATGGGTATATAAGATAAATTTGAATCGCAAAGGAGAAGTAACTCGACACGAGGCGAGACTTGTGGTGAAAGGATTTCTTCAGAATGAAGGAATCGAGTTTGACGAAGTTTTTGCACTTGTTGCTAGAATCGAAACAATCAGGTCGATTTTTGGTCTATAAAACATGAACAACTAGCAGATGTGTCAAATGGATGTGAAATGTGTGTTCCTGAATGACCCATTCGATGAAGAAGTTTATGTTGCACAACCAATTGGGTTTATGAAGTAAGGCGAAGAAAGCAAGGTATACAAGTTGCATAAAGCCATGTATGGAATTAAGAAAGCTCTAAGAGCTTGGAATAAGAAGATATATATATTTCTAAGGGAAAAGGAAATTGTGAAGTACGTAACTGAACATGGAGTATTTGTAAGAAGAAGCAATAATGAATTATTTATACTATTTCTCTATGTCGATGACTTGTTGATAACATGAAGTTGTAAAAACGAGATCGAAGATTTCAAACATGAATTAAGTGAGGAGTTTGAAATGTCAGACTTGAGAAATCTCTCATACTTCCTTGGCATTGAATTCTACAAGATCAGTAGAGGTTTGACGATGCACCCAAAAAGATATGTAGGCAAAATACTCAAGATATTTGAGATGCAAGATTGCAAACC